ATACCCGTCAAGGAAACCGATTTCTACTCTTGTGCAGGTTGAAAGATGGCAACATTCGAGTTCCACTATCGAAACTCCTCGATGTAACTTGTCTAATCATGACAATTTTTGAAAGAAATCTTCTTAAAGAAATTTCGTTAGTTAATAATTATTTCAAATGATAGGCGTTTTGATAGTTATCATTAGCCCTTTAGTTGACTTCGGGCTTCACAGGGGGAAGGAACCTCAGGGTAACAGAAAGTCGAGAGGTGTGGCACAGAAGAGTGATTCACAGATGTAAAAGAGACAGACAGACACAAATGCAGAGAAGAGGTGAGATGAGTACTGTAAAGTTGTGGAATATGGCCTACACTGGGGTCATGGTAGTTTGAAGTCAGAAGTCAATTGCCGATTATTAGACTTTTTTGCCGTATGGGTATACGTTGCCCAGGGTGCACCACGTGGAGGTAAGTCTATCACACACCCCTCGTTAGTTAATATAGACTATACTAACATGATGTGCGATATTAGTTTGCCTTCGAGTGATCCTTGTGGTGATTGTAGACCAATAGCTTAAAAACAATCTGAAGTTATAGAAAAATATCGGCACATTTTCCTCAGTCTAAAGTGAACAGCGAATAAGATCGAATCTCGGGTCACATAAGCGGCTTTCACAAGTCCTCTCCCCAATATCTTAAACCTGAATAGGTGAGTAGATATTTTTTAAATACCGGCGGTCGTTAGAGCAACAAAAAGCCAGTCACATCAAATCATTTATTCATAAAAATCAATCACAAAGACAATAAAGAAGCAAAAAAGAAACAAAAAATTATCTTCCTTCGATTCATCAGGAACAAATAAATTCAATAAAAAGAAAAATTGCCATTGGGTAAAATCGTGCAGTCGCCACTGGTGACAATAGTAATAGTTGACCTCTTCAGACATAAAGTAAGAAAATATCTCAGCAAGAAAAGGATTAGAATGAGAGAATGCAACAGAAAAATATGCATATAGGCTCAGCAATCACTCCAGCCTGCTTTCTATAGGCACATCTAAAGGTCAAGTGGAATATTTTCACTACTCACATAACATAAGTAATAGTTGATTTTAACTAGACTTACTTGCTAAGGGTGAGATTCAGTGTGTGTGTGTGTGTGTTGGGATCTAGTACTTGGGTGGGACCGTTTTCAATGCTTCAAAGGGACTCTGAACGTCTTGGAGATGCTGCAAAGGAGGAATAAGTGAATCAGGACATGGGATTAGTACTCACATTGAATACATCGATTTTGTGAAGTTAGGGTGCAAGTAAGTACAGGGTTAAGAGGATGCAGTTCAACTTACATCAGGAGTATTTACCTAAACACATTAATACAATGAGTAAATTTATAGGAAGAATTGTATATGCACTTTAGTTGATTACTGAATGTGAATTTGAAACTTGGAATGCTACCTACAAGCGTATTTGGACTTGGTTCTTGTGGATGACCTCAATATAAACCCATTTTGCACTTTTACACATACGCACACACACACACATATATCAACTCAGCATGGGGGAACGGGATAAACGGGATGAATTTCGTAGAGGTGTTTTCGGCAAGTAAAGTCCTGCGAATTAGGGATAAAATGTCACAAATACTTGGCGGTATATGAAGACTAGTAAATACCTCTTCACAGATACACTCAAAACAGCATTTAGAAGTGCGCAGACCGATAAGTAGTGTGTTGTGGAAGAAAGGTAGTAGCCACTGCAGCAAGATGGGCACTTCGTCTTACCTTTGGACGAAGGAAGGAATTTCGTGCCTTTTCATTGCCTATTGCTTCCCATCTAATGAATTTTCTTTAACTACCACAAACTCAAAGAGGCACTCTCGCATACAAAGTACACAACAACAACAACAACAACAACAACACAAAACGAAGGGAAAGAAATTAATTAGAAGAAAAAGACAGCAAACTTTCCTCCGTTTTAACAAAGCGTGCGCGCGCGTGTGTGCGTGTGTGTGTGTGTGTAAGGTGCATGATGAATGTTTTCGCGTACGTGATCTGCAATAATGTCTTACAGCAGCACCGATGCCTCGACAGAGACTTTTGAAAAATTGTAATTAATTGCAGCTTATTCAATACAATGGGGCAATGAAGTGGTGTATATATATATATAAACGTACATGTATGTAAACAAAATTTTGAAAAAAAATGTACCAAAAAACATTAACAGCGCCTACGGCGCTCCATTAACCCCTCATTCATCTTTATTCCACTGTCAAATGATTGACGCAAATTTTGGATTCTATGAAAAGGCGAAAGCGGAATTAAGATTAGGTGATTTGAATGGTGCTGAAACAGAGAATAGGCGAGCCTTTCAACCGTTCAAAGTGACTTAATAAAAGCGATGTAATTCTATTTGCCTTAAATATGGAAGTTGTATCGTCATTGGTATTGTATGGAATAGTAATTACATTATATAATTTACAGAGGATGAAGTAAAGAGAACCGAGACTTCTCTCCGACTTTTATTAAGAAACCAGAGATATGTAAAGGGGAGGAATACGTTGACTAATTGAAGGAACAGATTGAACATTCCTTTAAGTATAGAAAATCAGAATAGTGGCAATCACATGGCATTCTCAAGAGTTTAAGCAAATGGGAGAAGACAAGAGATATGGTACTATCAAAGGCAGTGAAGGGAGAAGACATGCAGAGGTTAATGCCAATGAGAGGTTAAAGAAATCCCTTTTCTAGTTACAACGCACTCCATATGTGGTGGTGGTGCAAATATGCTAACAATTTGCTCATTTAGGGATTGATGAGGTGGCAATCAGCTCTTGTGAACTCCGTTGTGTCAAGCAATGGATGTGGCTAAGTGAGCTCATTGGGCGGATGAATTGAAGATAATATATATATATATCAATGTCCTCAATTCAAATCCCAAGTTCTACTCGTAACCGCCGCCGCTCCACCCCAACCACTATCGAACATTTATTGCATTTTATTCATAAATAATTTCCCATGAATTGAAGTTGTGAGCTTTCAACTGCCATGAGAAATAATAGCCAATGATAAGGCGGGTAAAATTACTGCAAGCGACATTCTTCTGGCCAAAATAAATCTGTTACGATTCCATAGAAGTTATGGAAACTCCATAGGCTTTGCAATATTTACCTATTCATGTGATAAATTCCCGAACCCCCGCGTAGGCAATGACAATTCCAAAGCCTGTGGGAATAAATGCCATGTGGTGTTAAAGTAGAGGAGAATGACGCAATAGCCATTCGGAATGTGAACTATGCGTATACAATAAATTTGATTTTGCTGTAGCCATAACGAGCTGCAAGTCTATTGTCAATTCAGGTGATGACCTTCGATAGATTGGAAGTGCAAAATTTATCCTAAAATATGCAGCATTGCATAATTTAAGGTGCATTGTGTTACTAATAATCCCATCACATCATGACATAAACAAATCAAACACCAGTAATTATCGTTGATAATTGCTTCCTGAAACACTGTCCCACTCACAATAAAATATCCAAGAATGCAACTTCATTGCGTCAATATATTTTTAACTCAATTGTCTCTAGCCTTTTTTCCTCGCTTTACATAGCGTACCTAGATATATCTACAGTAAGGAAAAAGCTATAGAAAGAGACCAAATATAGCTCACAAATGTCCTCTATCCAACTTCTGCACTCGTTTCCACGGTAGTCTAAACGTACCAATGAAGAACCAACATTACATCATTATGGAGCAGACTTAGGTAACAACAAATAATTAAATCAGAAATGAGCTTTTCCAGAATTTGCATGTACACATACTCTTCTCGCTATTGATTTGTCTACATACCTTCGTTAAGACTACACAATGATAGGATCGTAAGTTCACCTTGAATGAACTCTGTTCAATCTTGAATGTCTTGATTAGTCTCATCTGTCTAACAACATTCCCCCCCCCCCAACCTGGCTATATATGGAAATACGAGTGAATTGAAGTGGAACGATTAACTATTCACCTGAATCAGCTGGTCAACAATCTTTGAATACCAGAGCAGACCTAAACGCACCTGGGGAACCATGAGATTAAATAATGAGAGCATTTGCATTATGAGAAAGGCAACAACCTATTTCCTCCAAAGTTCAAATAAAACGCCACTATGTCGTCTTAACTTCAGTATCTACTTCTATTAGAGTGCCTATTCATTTATTACAGACATATCTTGCATCTCCGCATGTTCAACTTCTTCTACATGACCAAAAAACGCATTTTTGCATTAATATGGGCAATGTTAATTAGTTTATTTAAGAAATGTGTATGTCTTTTTACTCCATCTATTTAGGCACAAACTGCAAACTATTTATACATACCACAAAGCACTTGAAAATGATGAAGAAATACCGAAGTACTTCTGCCAAATTATCCAACAAAAACAATTCACTACTAAAGAAAAAAAACAAACTAATTTACCAAACCACCTCACCTCTCAAGAGAAGCTCACTGCGTATGACTGAATTCGTACTAACCAATAATTAGACAGAAAAAATGGCATAACTCACGATAGGTTTGCTTCTATGCGTATCTACAGCGTCAACGTCAATTTTGAGTGTCTCCACAATACAGCGATAGGCTGAGGATGTGAGCTTGAACACGGTATGGAGAGGCACTCTAATGTAGGGTAGTTCCGCTAGAGGAAGGTTAAAAAACAATGCGCAAAATGAATAGAAACCGGATTTGACAATGGTGTGACAAGAGGATTTACCTTTGTCAACTTCTGTAAAGTATGCCAAAAGGCATCGGGCGACAGCTTGATGACAAATAACAAGAACGTCGCCTTGTCGTTCCAGTTCCATGATTACGGGCTCCAATCGTGCCACCAAGTCCTCGTAAGACTACATAAAATAGTAGAAGTAAGCTAAATGGATCTTAATAGTACTGGTGTGACAGCCACCAAATGAGAGAGATATAGTTATAGATCAAGCATTTTAAATCGTGTAATTCCAGATTTTCGTGAAAGTGGGAGAAAGAAAACTCTTCGGGAATTAAATCCCTAACCCATGAAACTTGGCGTTCCAACTCCCTTAACTACGTTCTAAGCCCAAAACGCTTACCCTTCTCCAATAAACCGATGGTATTTCCATAGAATGAGATTTAGAATGCTAGAGCCAGATGTAAAGTGACATTGTAGGGGCAATAGCTCACTGAGATACCGCCCTATTTTGCAACCAAAAAAATATTTATCCCATTGAAAATAATAATTAATTACGAGGAAGAGAAATTTTCAACAACATAGCTATCCGGTCCAGGTGAGGGTGAACTAATAAAATTGCCAACCTCTCGCCTAAGACCACATGCAAAGCACAAACAGGTTGAGGGGATTGGAGGGGGGGGGGGGGGGGGGGGGGGGGGGGGGCGGGGCTGGTAGGTTAAGGGGAACGAAGTTTACCAGTGCACATCCAGTGATGTGGGATAGGTAACCAAACGGGCTCATTCTACCATTCAAAAGAGGGAGAAAGAGAGAGGCGTCAGTGTCGCACGGGTTGCTCAAACGTATGACTCAAGGATACCTTGCTTACATCCACTGAAAAGTATTACGTAAAAATGTTCCACAAACTATCATTTAAATAAGAAAGGGAAAGAAAGAATTGTCAAGACAATCTGTTGTGCAAGTCCATAGTGAATGAGAAAATATTAGGGTGTTTAAACTATCGCCAATCAAAACCACTCATTTTAATTAGTTTAAGTTGTGAAGATCATAATTCACAACTGCTTTGGTGACCCTGGAAGGCAAAAATAAAATTCAAAATTTTGAAATAAAAACCGACAGTTTCAGAGTTAAATTGGCTTATTGCAAAAAATATTAAAATATTGGCCATTCAGTACTCCCAAAAGAAGACAAAAGGAACGAAAAAGTAAAGCTTCAATTGAGATCAAGTTTGCAAAACAGTTGCTTGAATTGTTAAAGAAATTCTTACTCAGAAAGAAGCAAAAAGCTGCCGAGAACCATTTTGGTAACTCCATTCAACAATTCTTTCGAAAATAACAGGAAAATAAAATCTGAATTAAAAAAACGCTATTTGTGCTCGACTCGCTTATAATAAAGAGAAGGTAAACACTAATATAGAGGCACCAACTCTTAAGTTACACAGGGAGAACCCTGTTAACAGTTGCCAGACTTACCTCTCCCATAGGGTAGCGATAACGGAATTTATCGATATCTCGACGTGCAAATTCCTTTGGATACTTCTGTTGGATTTCATCATATGTCATACCCTCACAAACGCCCTACAAAAGTCAAGTAGAAACATCGAAAATCAATCTACGGCATTGAGTTCATCCAGAGCTTTCCAGTGCTCAATTCGAGAGCAATCAATATGATCAGCCGTCTCAATAGTTCGAGTCATATGACTTGACCAGACCTTCAAATCTGGTCGATTTTCATTGGCCATGAATTTAGCCAACTTTTGAGCAAACTAAAAGAACACGGAGAGGAGTAAGTAGAAATGTTGTGGAAAAAACGAACCAGTTTTCCATTCGGCGAAAGACCTGAGTTGCCACCTAGCTTTCCAGCTAGATTAAATAAACTTTCCCCATGCTAGAAAACGGGTAATTAAAAGGGAAAATAGAAGATTACTCTAACTAAATAAATAGTTCGTTTTGCTACGCTGATATTCATAAGATAATAAACGATACGACTACTAACATTGCCTAAAATGGGGGATAAGTAGCAAACAGGGCATACCAGCAATTCTGTTGACCAGATACCGTTGACCCTGATTAATAATTTTAATAAAAGGAATATCTTTATCTCTCGTATCATCAATCGGTTCATATCTGGCTTCATAGAGTTCGATTCGCTTGAGAAAATCTTGTTTTGCAGTTTCTTTATCCATGCCGATATAATCTGGACTGTTGACCTTAACTTCCTGATATAGTTTATAAAATCCATTTAGGAATAAAACTTACTAGAATACTGGCTTGAATAACGTCCTTATTATCACAAATAGATTCCACAAAAATAATTTTAAATTTGTGCTCTTTGCAGTGTTCGTATATCATATCTCTGCGTTTACGAGTTGTATTGGTTGCGTCAAAAACTGCGATTTCGCCATCACCTTCTAACCATTCTGTGAGATCATTTAAGGCATCTTTAGCTGCCTTCCTAAGACAGCCATTTAAACTTGCTAAAAATACTTACGATCGAATATCTGCTGCCTCTTTATTTTTATCATCAAAAAAATCTGCGGTTTTAAAGCATGTAGCTTTTCGACGATAGTCACCGACATTAAACACTACAGAAAGTAGAATGTATTCCATAAACATACCACGTGTATTAATACCAATCCAATTCATGTAGCGCGTAAGTTTTCGAGACATGTATGTCTTTCCCCGAGCAGGAAGTCCCACGAGAACGATAATTGTTCTATCTTCCGCAGTGCATAAAGCTTAAAATTGTTTATAAGGGTAAAAATATACTTCTGTTTGAAAGAGGAGAAAAAATCAATGAAACGCGCCTCTCCATTGTTTCTGCGAAGAATAGAAGAAGCACCAATGGAATTGATAAAAGTCAGAGACAGCTTTTATATGGAATTAATAAAATTAGACCAATGACAGCTTGGCAACCTTGAAGGGTAAGCCTATGGTCAATCACTAAAACAAACTATTTTTATTATTTTATTTAACAGAAATATTATAAAAGACACATGTAGACAAACAAATAAGGAAAGAATTAATTTTTAACGGTTTTTCCAAATGAATGACTTATGCACAGTGTACGAAATGCAATATTTTTAATGACGAATTATAATTTTACAGACCCATTTCTTTGATTATCGTATATGGTGTCATTGTAAATGAAACCTCTCAAAATAGATCAATTTTCTTAAAATGCCAAGCATGTAAAATTTCAAAATTTCCAAAATTCTTTATCGTTTTGCTTTGTGGATGGACTACGGATCATCTCAAAAATTATTTCATTTTAGATTATATTTGTCAAAATTTTCATAACCTCTTGAATGTTATATTGGAATTGTTTATCAAAATGGACAAATAAAATTACAATTTTCATACTGATGTGCTCTTTGAATATGCAATATTAATACACAATAGTTTTGCAAATCAGTGATTTTTCATCAAATATTTCTTTAGGAACGATTGATTTTGCTCTTCAGATTTTGCAATAATTCTTAAATGTCATAATTGGGATTAGAACATACATAATGTATTATGATTTTAAAAAAAATGTCTAAAATAATTTTTCAACATTAAAAATATTTTTTTTCAGTGACTGCACTTCTATTATACATAGTATAAACCTCGTAATTATTGACTGTACTCCGTTTGTGATGAAGTAGCTAGAAAAGTTACGCATATTGGGAAAAACCTCATAATTTTGTAAACTATTTGACAAATATTTCAAATTTAAAATGGAAAATGCGTCCACTTGATCACGTATTAATATATATTAAGTAATAATTACTGTTTAAAGTGATCAAAAGAAGGGCGATGTACACATTGTAAAATCTAGCAAATATTTAAAATGTATGAACGAATAATTTGGAAAGAATGGTCATATGAGGAAATCTACTCTGAATCATGGACAGGTGAGGAAAAACAGCCGACAGTAAAGAAGAAATCTGGGAAATATACCGAAAAGGTGGTTTATGCATTTGAGAAGATAATTAAAAATCTAATTTCTATCGATTGGTTTGCGCTTTTCTCACTTATCAGTATCGTTTGATAACTTAAGTTTGTTTTTATGTTTTAGATAAGAAAAGGGAAAAAACCTTTCATCGACTCTGAATATGCTAATTATATGAATACAATCTCAGCTGATTCACTGTCTTATCGACCATCGGAATCATCTACTTTATCAGAAGTTTTCTCAAAAGTTCCCGACGGATTAGATATCATTGAAGCATTCCAAGATTTGCCAGTAAATATGCAGCCTCTTTTCAACAATATCAAAACTGATTTAATGGGTATATTTTCAATGAATATGTAAGAGAAATTTTGAAATTCACCAGTATCGGAAAGTAGACCAATTTTACCATGGGGATGTATTTATCCTCAAAGTAAACTTAAAAAGAGTTCAGGAACAAATATATACAATCCCAATGGAAAATATTCAGCCAGACTGCATGTTTTAGGAAAATGGAGAAGGATTGATGTTGACGATCGCATTTTCGTCGATGAAAATAAACAAAAAATGCTTCCATGGCTTAGTTTTGGCGATCTTTGGCTTCCCCTTCTTTGCAAAGCTCTTTTAAAAGTCGCACTTTTTGAGTAGTTTTAAAATTATTTTCAAAACCATTTTTCAGATCAAAGTCGACATTTTCAGCTTTTGAATGCATGACAGGATGGCCATATTATTCTCTTGAATTATAGTAAATAAATTACGGTTGTTGACCTTTTTAAAGTAACATTTCAGATCTTGAAACATGGAACGCTTTAATAGGCTGTTTGCCCGAATGGATTAGAAATGGAACTGCAAATGATGTGGTTAATGCTTCCGAAAACTATTCCGCTGTTGTCTTTGCTGAAATGGATAAAATTAATGAAATTAAATTGTGCGAAAACTCAGTAAGCTGTAGTAATTATAAAAAATAATTAATAAATTTTGCAATTACACTATTCATTTTATTTAATATTTATAAAATTTGATTGCCCAATAACAATAATGTATGAGGTTAAAAGCACTTTAACCTCTATTTAATTTTCATTTTTAACTAAAGTAAGAATATTTTATTGAGATGATATGAACCAAGCTGAATTTTTCAATAACCACACGCATCTAAATTGTGATATAGGCAAATGTCCACAAACGCATTATCAATAAAAACTTTTATGGTTCTGTGAAATAGGCGATGAATGATAGTGGTCATACGCGAAATAGTTCAAAGCTGTTCCTTCTCTGCTTAGTTTATAAATAAGCTGAATCTGCGTCAAATCAAGACAAATTAGTGAGTAGAAACCGTTGCCTAACCCCAAATTTTGTCGACTGCTTCAAAGTATTCCATGGTAAACAATCTCCAAAAATGCCGTTTCACACTTTTGATTGCCAAATTTGTTGAGCTATTATTAGATACTTCATCGGTTATTTTTTAAAACCAGTCGACTGTTCTTCCTATTCATCTTCTTCAGCGATGTGGTGTTATCGAAGATTTCATCAATCAATTGAAGGGAACTCCTCAAACAGTACTTTTGAAGATGAAGAGGCAGGAACCTCTTAAAAGTCCTGAAGAGAATTCACCGGTTCCCTCTTGGAAACATATTCGTGGACCGCCAATGAACTTGAGGGAGGATGAAGAACGCGATCCTGTTAGATCTGTTCTCGTACAATTACTCAACTTTCCCATCAATAGGTACTTTATTGCCATTTGCGGGATCTTTAAATAGACTGTCATTTAATTATAAAGAATTAGATGAAAGCATTAAGACTGTGTGTGTGGGGGGGGGGTAATTTGGTGGCTGCGAAGTAGTCCATCAAACTGTCAAGCCTTTCTTTACTGTGCATGATCTAGCCCACTAAATTAAAAATTAATTATAGATCTTCAGATTTCTACTAAATTAACTTGAAAGTGATTAAATAAATTTTTACTTCTAAATTTGATAGTTTTATTTAAATATACTGGAGTGGAAGAGGGAAAGTTGTAGCGGACTGCTACCTTAGTAAAGCCTGACTGACTCAGAAATCTCTATGGCAAATTCTCCAACATCTAGCTAGACTCCCAGAACCAGCTAAGCTATAGCCCAGCTATGAAGGAAACAGACGTTTAGCACGGAGCACGTTTATTCAGTGGATAAACCACGCAATAAGTGTACAGGAAGGAAACTCAGTCATACAACATGGCGGCTTTCGGTAAAACAAAAAAGGGGCCCTTGAGCTGCTATTGGCTGCGTGCTCTTGTCCTCAGTCCGTACGCGAAGTTGTACGGCCGCACCTCAAGCCTATGTGAACACGCATACGATGACGTGTCCCACAAAGTAAAGACAAAAAGAGTTCCAACTTGTCTATATTTTGGATTCGTTGAGTTTATTTATTCTTTTCTCTTCAAACATGACTTTTAATAGAAAATGGAAATTTACGCATTCAACATAAGTCTACCGAAAAAAATTCTAGTGGACGATGGACCTTATGAAGGGTTCTAATGGAGAAACATATAGCGAATTTTCATTGTCCCTCATTGATCGGTAGTCAATGATTGCACATTTGATTTCACTCTGATTTCTTCGGTGAATTTAATAAGTCCTATCGATAGGGATGGCCTTGAAGGAGTACAAGGAATGAAGAATAAGGACGATCACTAAGTTGAACAGAATACTCAATTGTTTACTACAATATCTACATTTTAACAAGATTCTCATCGATACTTTAATAATAACCTATTATAATAGATAGAAAGGGATAGAGAGGGTTGGATTTATTTATTGTATGAAGGAAATAAAATGATTTTCTCATTCGATAGATTCAGTCAGACAAAGTCTTTCTCCCCATTCTTATATTTTTAGTGATGAAATATCCACTGCTCGAAGTGGTTCTCAGAAAAATTCCAGAAAACCCGTTATGGAAGTATGTATTAACTCACGAAATAATGCCAAATGGAATAAATAAAAAGATGATAATAAAAATTTGTTTTTTTTTCTTTTAATAGAAAAATAGATGGTCTCCCTATCAGTCGAAATATTGTAGGTTTAAAATTCTAATTCATACAACATACATCCTTTTAATAATAAAGGTGGGTGGTTCGATGTTGAGGATCTATGCAAATATTTCAAGTAAGTAAAGCAATCGTCCCAATTTTAGTGGCGTTTAACTACTGAGTTGCTAATTTTAATATGTTTTTTTGTAGAAAAATACGGATTTTCTATAAACCAGAGGATCTAATATTTTACAAAACATTATGCTTAGCAAAGGTAAGCATGATAGTACTAAAACTTATTGTTTTTATTCTAAAGGAATCAAAGAATATGGAGATTGAAAACGTTAACGCTAATCATTTCGTTATTGACACTATCAATGAGACCGAAGTTACATTTAACTTTCATTGTCAATCGAAGGCGAATTCAGGCGAGACATTTACCACATTAATCTACTTTATAGGATAAGATTAAACTTATAATTGGTCTATTTCACTTCTAGATGATATTGATTCTGTAGTTTTAATCGAACCAGTAGACTGCTTATCTCCACATAGACTTCTTCCACTCGTAGTGCTTGTAGATGGTGGCTACCAATCACAAAGACTAAAGGTCAACCCTGGGCGTCGCGTCTATCACATTCTTTTTGAAACATCAACTGCAGTGAGTTTAACCATATTCACCGCATGCACCAATCATAATCAAGCTGAAATAATGATTGGGCCAATGGAGTCAATCCTTTCGAAGTCTATAAAGGAACCTTCAAAAATAAGTAGAAGTGGAGGAATTTTGTTTGAATGCTTTTGTAAACTCTTGAGGAGCTATGTTGAAGCCGACAAAAACTCAAAGAGCACAGTTGAAAATGCAAAGAATGCCTTTGGAGAATTAATTGATGATCTATTTCCACTGAAAAGCCACTCTTCAGCTGAAAAGGTATGACATCTAATTATTTTGAATAACACCATTAGTCCAACCACTTACAATTGAATCCCATATGCGCTCTAAAATTTAGGTAATCTGTGAGCAAATAAGAAACCTTTTCACTCGAAATTTAAAAACCAAAGACGATTCTGAGGTAGAAGATATTGTGTGTGCTTGGAATTTGTTAAACAGCGATCATGAAAATGAATTGGATGAAGTTGAAAGTGAGTCATTGAAAGTAATAGCGTAGTCACTTTTAAATAGTTTATTAAGGCTGTAAAGCTGTGGATACCAAACTTCAAATTATTGGATTTAGTTGTAGTAGATCGAATTAATAATTTATATTTCATACTCGATTAATGACGGTTGCTTTTGTTTTATTGGGGTTACCAATAAAACAACGCGTGCTTTAAAAGCAACATGAAAATTTTATTGTTAAATTATTTGCAACTCTTTAAAATGGCTATTGAAAAACTCGTGGTTTTTTTAATTTCTACTTCTTCTCTTGGAGTATGCTTCATGGGCATGGAAAATGTTAATAGGAAGGAAGGAGATCTGGGAAATATGGATGATATAACGGTGGAAAATACCAATTTAATTCCTGAAATTGTGGGAGGTCATTCTTCCTTTGTGGAGTGGGGTATTATTATGCGGGGAATTAGTCCTTTTTGATAGCTTGAAGTAGACGTTTATATTTTAAGTTGCGTTTTAATCAGGCCGATTGCTGACAAAAATGAACTGCCACTGTAGCTGTTTTGAACGCTATACCCAATCCGAAATGAAAAGAAGTTTCTGCAAAGTCACCTGTGGATAGAGATGGAGTCTTATTGGATACAACCATTTTCCCATTAAAAGTGGCGTAAATGATAGACTTCACGTTCCAGTTGACTCTGAGTATGCAAGTTTCCGTGGTAATTATTCTTCAGTTAACTGATTATTTAATTCAATCAGGGCTTTTAGTACTTCTTCATCAAAGTGTATAGTTTTTTTTTCACATTTTGGGGCATCACTTAAATCCCTACTTGCTAGATTTAAATTTTTTAAGGCGAAATTGACGCCAGTGGAAAGTTAGCATTGAATCATGGATTTCAGTAATGGTTTTAGTAGTCTTGCGGGAATTCAAGCTCTGATGGAGGAAAAGTAGCACGTGGTGTCTGCTCTTTCTCGGTTAGACAAGTAAATACAATTTATTTCTCATTCACATCTCAAGGCATTTCCTTCGCTGAGTCTGTTTACAAAGTGTAATCAAACGCACTTTGTAAAATGAGCGATTTCTTATTGGTTGCCCTAATCCAGTGTGAAAATGTCATGGTTTCACCTTCCTATCAGGATGAATTTCCATTAAGGGGTTAGTAGTGATTTTAATTACCATAGCTCCGTCAGGTAGTTCTTGTCACCTATGATCGCAATCTCAGAGGAAAAATAGCAGGAAGACGATGTTTTGATGATTAATGCTGAAAGTAGGTGAGAATTAGAAACCGACCACTTGGTTAGATTGAAGGTTACATACAACTTGATAAAAATATACAGCCTGACACCCTGCTTAGTGGCTGGGATGTTCACAGAGCAAGCCTCTACGTGAAAGCTCTAAGGCTATAGGGTTCATCGTAGTTATCATTAGTCCTTTATTTGACTTCTGGCTTTGGAGAGGTGAGGAACATCAAGGTCAAAAAAGGTCAAGAGGTCAAGGAAACAGAAGAGTGATTCACGGATGTAAGGCAGACACAAAGGCAGAAAGTAGGGTAAGGTAAGTACTGTGGAAGTGCTCGAATATGACATACAGTCGAGTCGTGGTAGTTTGAAGTCAGAATTTAACTGCCGGTTGATAGGCTTTTTGCCGTAGAGCATACGTTGTACAGGGTGTACCACGTGAAGGCAAGTCAATCGCACACCCCTCATCTAAGACATAATCCGTGTTATAAATTTCCAAAAGTGTATACATTCGAGAGGAGAAGATGTTCAGCGTTGCTTACGTTCGTATTGAATGCAACAAGTATTACGTTAGGAACCAAATCAAGCAGCTGAGTACATGCTGGTTTGAATAAAATGTATTGATTAAATTCTGTGAAGCCAGGTTTAAGACGGCTAATCTACTTGATCAAATGGTGTTAAATTGCAGAAAGAAAGTAATTGTTAAATGAAATTTAATCAAATATGTCACATATTTCTTGTTTAATTTTAATTTGGAATTAAATAGTTAACATTTAGAATATTTTAGCTCAAGGATCAGCATTGGATGTGGAAAAATCCCTCAAAGGAATAAAACTTCTACTTGAGTGCTCAAAATCTATCTCAAATTTCGATAAAATACTTCTTCTGAAATGTATTTCAGGTGAAATTAATCACTCTCATTTCGACGATGACTTTAGTGATGCACTGTTCGTTTTGAAAGCCGTTGAAATTCTCCCCTTCGAAAGTGCCTCCTTTAAGTCCGTTGGTTGCATAACAACAGCACCAACAAATTATATTCGAAAGAATTTACAAAAATTCTCCCTACTTCCCGTGTTTTGTTATCGAATTCATGTCAACGACAGGGTGGCTAGACTTCGTAACCACCTGGACTGCAATGTTGATATCTCAGGGAGAATTATATTCCACAACAATGATATAGGAAATGAAGTCATAACAGTCGATAGCCAATATGTAATTTTGAAGCCAAATGAATATGGCTACGATGTGTTCTGCTATGCAATGCTAGAGAAAAATGTGGAGAAGAGTGCTTCTATGATTTATGCCACTTTTGGAGAAAGTTGGCAAAGTTTGGAGTATTCTGAGATAACCACAACATTCGCGTTTTGGGAAGCCGTCGGTGTGCTAGTGCCTACGGAAGAAAACCTACTCTTTCGGTTTTCACTGAATGTAAGTTAAGTAGAATTTATAAAATAAGCAAAAACTGGAATAGTGGTTATTAACAAATCAATTTCATAATTGTTCATACTGACCAATAGTGATAAACGTTTCTGATGAAGATTACAAAGATGAAAAAAGTCGATTGGAGTAAAATAATCAATACAGTCATGCATATCTATTGATGATATTCAATCTGTAACGGAATGATAAGACATTTCAAATCATATAGATAGGCATGCAGTGAAAATATCGATTATTTTGCCGAATGAAGTGGAATGCTTGAGATCCATAGGCGTTCGATTATTAAATAACTTGAAGATTATCGAAAATCAATAAAGTTTGTGTGCCAAAATCAATGCAAAATCATCAAATAAATCTGTCATGAAAAATCCTGAACTGCAGGCAAGTACTTATCACCTTTCAACTTCGAAGTAAAATATTATGTCTACATAATATACTTCTAAGTAATTAAATTATTGAATTTTACAAGTCAAAAATTATTTAAAAATCGGACTCATTTAACAATGTAAATAATTTACCAAAAGGAAGCCTAAGAATTCAAATACATTGGCCAGTTTGAGAGAAAATTATTGAAGTCCACGATGATAAAGAGGTAAAAGTGCTGAGGGTTGCTATTTGGAATTGGAATAAACCGTATTTATTTAATTATCCCATGATTTGTCGGTGAATTCTTGACCATGGCATTCTGTGATGCTGTTCAGTAATGGTGGACAGTGCTATCACTTCAGATCATCTTGATTCCAAGTATTGGGAAGCTAAAATGATGTTTTTGGTATTACACAAATAGGCCGAACTTAATTTAGCTAAGACATCTGCACTTCCTACCCAACAAAACTCAATTTACATTTT